TTATAAAGTGATTGTGTTCAACTGAAGTGTAATAAAGCATTAAATACTGCACATTTCAGTTTCACAAGTGTCATTCAGAGCATTTTTTGATCGGCAAAAAAATTAAGTGCATTGTAAATGTCACAGCAAAGGGGAAATTGTACATTTGTAAATGTTAATGTGCCCACTTCAGCAAAGGATGATTCTGGGGAAAAAACACTGTGTTCTCTTCCCCTAGACGGAATAAATCCTCCACGCACTGATCTGATGTCTCTGAACAGTAATTGCATTCATTAGAACAGGCACTAATCACAGCTAATCCATCTGTGGGTTAAAGTTTGGCCTCTAATAAATAATTAGTATAGACTTTACATTTAACTGAATCTGAATGTAAAGGGATAGCTCACCCAAAAATGAAAATTCCATCATTATTTACTCACCCTCAAATTGTTCCAAACCTCTATGATTTTCTTTCTTCTGTTCAACACAGAAGATATTTTGAAGAATGTGGGTATCCAAACAGTTGCTAGTCCCCACTGACTTCCATAGTATAGGAAAAAAAATTATATGGCAGTTAATGGCTACCAGCAACTGTTTTGTTACCAGCATTCTTCAAAATATCCTCCCCAACCTCCAATAAAATAATTCAAGTCAAGTCACTTTTATTTATTCATATCTTTTAAATCTATTTTGTGAAGTTTTCCAGTAAGCATCCGGGTTTAAGAATATCAGATTTGAAATGCAATGTGTATTTAATGTTTATTTAATGTGATTGCACACGTTTAGTTTTAACACGCTGTATGGTTGTATTTCATATTAACAGTTTCTTTTCTGTCAGTTCAAAAAGGGCACATTAAGTACAGTTGCTATGTAAAGGAACATATGAGCGTAATGAAGCTTATTTTTCAGAGTGATCTCTGTGATTCTCATCTGAAGCGTTCTCCCACTGGACCGAACTTTCAAAGCTACCTGTCTTTTTAATGTGCAGCTGTCAGCAATACCTGCGTCTCTCATTTCCAGCAGTCTGACGGGCCTTCAGATGCTCTAATAATATGTCGTTCTCATATTTCATTGATTGATGTTTTCCTTTGAGTGTTTCTTGATATAGCCCCTAAAATCACAGTACATCATCAGTGCAGAGTGCCTTAATATGTTAGGCTACTGATAAAAAGTTTCGGTAAAGTTTGTTAAAAGCTTGACTTGAGATGTGAACCTGTGGACATACTGTACAGAGCGCCAGGGCCGACAGAATGTTTTTTTTGTTTTGTTTGTGTTTTCGCCAAGGAGAGAGCCACATGATGGCAGAGGTGAGACACACTTTTTTCTATGACAGGAAGGAGCACTACAAACGTTCATTCAAACCTGGCTGGAATAGAGATGTTCTCAGGTATAATACTTACAGTGACTATGTCACTACAGGTATTTTACCCTTTTTATCCTAATATTATCAAATATGTTTTGAAAAAAAGAGAAAACAAATCTAGGTGACATAACTATCTGGATATGGTAAAAATGAAAATAAAATCTTTGAATATATATATATATATATATATATATATATTAGCTTTCATGAAAAGGCAATTTTTTTTTCATTTAACTTACTATTTTTTTAATTGTTTTGAAAAGCAGCCCATATAACAATGTACATTATCACATTGTAACAATGTACATTATAACACTGGCGTAGTCTGCAGTCAAAGGTACTTCTGTGTGGTGACAAACCTGACAGCTGTGATAATGATCAAAAGACATTAGTAACCTGTGTAGAAGTAATTGAAACACTGTTTGAAGCCTCAGGCTCTCTCCTTCATGCATGGTTTATGCATCCATTAGTGAGCTTGATTTGGTTACAGTAACAGTATCATGAAGGGCTGCTGCACTTTCCTGACTGTGACTGATGGGTCTACGTGATCAAGAGAACTAGCAGGTGCAGACTTCTCTCCTGAGTGTGTAAATCATAACCTCAGATGAACATCATATTGGTTATAGTACAGTACATTTTGACTCGCCTGAAGTTTTAGCCAGCTGCTCAGTAGTAGATATTATAAACCTGGCTTGAAATAACTAACTAAATAAATAAACAACTCTTCCATCTTGAACCCTTGGTCCCATAGTAAATTATGACTTGAAGTGGTTCTGTTCAGCAGAAGCGGTCTGGGGCAACAATAAATAAATATGACAACAAACATTCTGCACGTCTTATCGAGTTCAACACTGGTCAGCTCTTTGTGCTTTCACTCCCAAAAACAAATCCTGCATGACTGACTCCTGGGCTTTGAGGTTTTTCTCATTTTCTCAGAATGAACTTTTTGATAATTCACAATCACTGGGCCTCATGGGATGGAGAATATATAAAAAAATGTGCTTATTCTAAAATAAGCTTTCCTGGTGATTCCCTTCTTTGAGTTTTCACATAGATGTAAATTAGTGACTGGAAAGTAGCAATAAATAAATAAACATGAAAGGATAATGTTACAAAGAATGTATGAAAAAAAAGCTCAATTCATCTCATCTGCTTTTCAGTGTTCTTTGAGGTCTGTACATTTACTTATTTGCAAGACACCAATGAGATAAATAGACAATTAAGGGAAACTTTTGCTTAAATCTCCTGCGATAAAGACCTAATCATGCATATCCTATAGACTTTTCAATATAATTGTTAGACTTTTCAATATAAACGTGTAAATTATACATCAAATATTTGTATACACTAACTGTTTAAAAAAACGGTCTCATTTGGATCTATTTTTTATTT